TCGACGGTAGCTTTCGTTCTTGGATGAAATCCATATTCCCGCACCAATTGTATGTGTCGATTTTCATGTTTAATTTGGGACTTTTGTGTGTAGGCAACAACTTGATGTTTGGCAACTGAAATACAAAAGAAGAGTGAATGATAAGATGCAAATTACATACTTCGCATGTACAGGATTCTCAATGGGAAGGACATATGTATAATAAATAATTTGGTATCTTATAAAGAACAAGCACAAAGTAATAAAATGAAAGTAGACAATAAAAAAAAAAGACAAGAAATAATAAATTGAGTGTGAAATCTGTTAAAAAAAAGCAAAGGAATAAGTAGAGAAAATGGCTTCCTTAACATGAAAGGACATAATACTATACATTTTATGCTGATCCTTATTAGCAACATTTTAAGCATTTCTTTTAAGCTTATGTGGTTTCATTCAATTGAATTGTGTGCCCATCAATTATGTTCAGGGAATTGAATTTATTGTGAATATTTCGTATTTCAACGCATTTCTTATCAAACATTCGATACTTTTTTGCCTAAATGGCAACCATAAATAACAATAAAAATAAATTGATTTCTGTTATCCTTCCCTAAAAAGCAGTGCGTGCTGATGCCCAGTTGAATGTTGAAATTATTTACACGCAATTTGAAATTTGACACTTTAGTACCCTAAAATAATTGAATAAAAATCATGAAAATGTGTTGATCATTAGTATTGGGTAACAGAGAAAATGTTATTCCAAATTAATAGAGAACAACGTTAAGTTTTGAATAGTTCTTTCTTTCTTTCAAATAATAATAAATATATACTTTTAATTATATACATAGGTATATGTAGTATTATAATGCTTTACATAGGATGGCTTTCGATTTAGGTGTATTTAATATTACCATTTAAATTTGTTTTTTCTGTGACAGCAAAAATCTACAAAAATTTATTTCATATTATTATTATTATTTGTAAAGAATTTATAATGATTGTAAACAATATATTGTTTCAACTTTTACTGATTTAGACTTTTATGTTTTTAAACAAATACTTAAATTCGTCAATGATTTCAAATAAAAGTCATTGATATCAACTGGTAATAAACACTTTCTTTAGTGTGAACTAAACTTTAACATTTTAATTTTAAATTTAATATAATAATAAATATATAATTTAATTTAATATAAACTTTAATATTTTAACAAAATTAACAAAACTCAAGAAATCAACTACAAAGCTCCTTTCGCTTAAAACGGAAATTAATCTGTTGTTTCATCCATATCAAGTATCTGCACTGTAGCTATGCAACATGAGAAACTATTAATCTTAAATCAATTTCAAAGTTTTAGTTGATACAGTTGCATATTGGGATGGTTCTTATTTTCCAAAAACATAGACGAAAAACTGTCGCAAATAGCTTTAGTTAAACTCTGCCATCATTTACGGTATTATGGTATTTAACAAAGGAAACATTTGGGTTGGTATTTTTTGATCAAGGTATAACTGTCAGTATTAGAAATAAAATGGCTGAATCATTGGTTAAATATGAGTCAGAATACGACAGAAATACTTAACATTATTTCAAAGCTGAGAAATAAATGATTTGATTCCCAAGACTACAATCAACTTTTCCAATCACTTTAATATTTCGATACATTTCCTATACTCGTAACATGATGGACAGTATACGCAGACTATAAATTCGGTCTGGAAATGGCTTAAAAGATGCAATGACATAGAATTAAATGGCATACAGTTGGTGGAAGAATATAATATTATTCTCAACAAATACGAATAAGAACAAGAATTCATATCTCAGGTTGTAAACGAATATCGTAAAAATTATCTTGGCTATTCAAAAACAGTATTTTCAATTTGAAATTTGTACATAAAGTACTAATAAACTAAATAATCTTTAAATGTTAATAATGATGATTTTATCTAAGAAATCTAACTTTTGTATGAGTTTTCACGATGATGATTTGTGATGTATGAAGAAAACTTCCATTATATGAAAATAATATAACCCTCTCCAGCATAAAAAGACGTTACTTTTGTATGCTATGTCGTGTTGGTTTGTAAGATAAAGTTTTGTAATGTATCTAAAAAATTGTATTATGAAAAATAGTAATTGTTAACCCTTTCCGACCTAATGTGAGCTCATAAATGAACGATAATTAATTTTGTGAAATAAAAATGAATTTTACAGGTGGACCATGTTAAGGCGTCGACATAGACGTATGCAATGTACGAAAAAAAGTTAAATTTTTTAAAAATAATATGAGTCAGAGATGCATTTAATCTCACTCAAGTCAATAATTTTTAGTTACTTAACTAATACTAATAATAATTGGTTATTTTAGTTTTTAATATTTAATTACAATATCAAATTATAAAAAATCGATTATTAACGTGTTTTTTAGAATAATTGTAATAAGCTTTATTTATTAAATTTTTCTCATATTTATATAAGTATTCGTTAAGACTAAAATTTATATATTTATAGACGCACTTATTATTTAATTAGTTTGAATTAATCAAATTTTTACAATTATTTAAATAAATTCTGATATAAATTTTTGGAATCACAATAGATGGGTTTTTAAACATTAATTAATTTAAAACATTTTTGGATCTCTTTGCAGTTTATTAGTTGAAAAATGATCAAAGAGCATTCCCAAATGATGATGCACCAGAAAACTGATGAACGGAATAAAATACAAACGTATACAGCAATTTCTCAATTTCATCAGGCCGTTTCAGGGGCTCTTTCTGGTTGTTTAACTCGAACATTAACTCAGCCGTTTGATGTACTAAAGATACGTTTTCAACTCCAATTAGAACCACTTAAAACATCTAAAAATAGTAATATATTAATTAGCTCAAAATATACATCACTGCTACAAGCATCACGTTTAATTTATAAAGAAGAAGGTATAAAGGCCTTTTGGAAGGGGCATAATTCTGGTCAAATGATGAGTATTACTTATGCGCTTATACAATTTTGGTCATATGAACAGATTAGACTAAAAGGCAGTCAAACGACTTGGTTCAAAGACCATACACATGTATCAAATTTTGTAAGCGGAGGCTTAGCCGGTTGCATCGCAACTACAATTTCAATGCCATTCGACATAGTGCGTACCCGTGTAATAGCGCAGGACCACAACGTACCATATAGAAATGTTATGAATACTTTATCTGTTATATTAAGAGACGAAGGAGTTAGAGGATTATTTCGTGGTTTAGTGCCTACTGTTGTGCAAATTGGACCTTTAGTTGGCTGCAATTTTCTTTTCTATAGAATAATTAACGACTTCGGACTGAATTTGTTGCATCCTTCTCAGCAACACTTGCCCGCCTGGTATTTGCTAATGTCTGGCGGAGTTGCTGGTACATTGTCAAAAGTAATACTGTATCCATTGGATTTCATCAAAAAGCGACTACAGCTGCAAGGATTTAAGCATCAAAGAGTTACTTTTGGACGCAATCATACTTGTAATGGTGCTATTGATTGTATAAGAGTGGCTATGAGAGAAGAAGGTGCGATAAGCTTTTACAAAGGTGTCGTACCAACTTTGTACAAATCAGGATTGACAACGGCTTTATATTTTGTGCTTTACGATGCTTCTATGAGATTTTTCGAAGAAATGTGAAACCACTTAAAATTGTAAAAAATATTTGCCGCATGATTATGTATTTTAAGACTTCCTATTTACGAACTATAATTATAGGAATTATAATTAAACGTCTTTAATAATATTATATTATTGCATAAATGTAAGTGATATTTGAAGTAGTTTTAGTTTTAATTTTAATTACATTGTAACGTACATATGATAACAAACGTACTTAATACTTATTCAGTATTTAATGAAACATCAGGTAATTTATATATTTATTTCTGCAATTGTGTTTTATTATTTTTAATTTATTGAAATAAAGCTTGCCAATTATGTCAACCACTCAAAGTAAATGTTAAAGACGTCGATTATATTGAAAAATATAAGAAAATAAATAAATAATTCTATTAAGAAGAAATATTTCATAAATTTTGTTTGAAGTTCTATCTTAAAAAGGAAAATTATATTTTTAATTATTGAAAATCTTACTTGACAAATTTCTTTTACAAAAGAGATAAATCATGTAACAGTGAGCAGAAAAGTAACTTCGACATCATTCCACCAAGTAAAGCTTGATTCCATTTCAATTAAATTCGAGGAGGAGGATTGCGCTTGGGTATACGAACACCTAGGAAACACACATCCTCATAACATACACTCTCATGTGTAAGTGTTTTTGCCTTTGGGTTTTATGATAAGCTTTCAGTCTATTAAATTTATCTTTACTTCGAATTCTTGAAGTATAAATAATAAATTGAACTGGTAAAGTGACAACATTATCCTCAGTGGAATTGGAGTGAAATGGGTAAGTTTCGTTATAACTGAATGATATTATTAAAAATTATTATATGTGTTATGTGTCTTTAGATGTCATGAAAATTTAAAATTTATTGTGGTATTCTCAATTGTGCTTTACTGCGAACAGATATTTCTGAAATATAAATTGACAATTATTTTTGGCAGATTCAGTACAAAAGATAAGATAAATGCACATAAGTTGTTGCCATTTCTGATTAAAATAATCTTTTTTAAAATATTTATTTTTTTTTAAACTTGGTATAAAATTTGAAAAAAAGCACAATTTTAATAATAAATAAAAAAATAGCTGTACTTTGATTTTAACTTTATTGATCTAATTACTTATAAGCTAACAAAAAATTTTCAGTAAGAACGGATGGAATCTTTCGCTTGAAAAAACTTGATCACTGAAACCAATAGCTTCAGGAGTAATCACATATAACCTAACCTAAGAAGTAAGGAAGTGTAAAACTTAACTCTAGCAAAATCCATTACTGTAGTATTTCAGAGTGAAAATACAGAACGCAACAACAGTTAAAATTGAGTATCGAAAACTGCCAGCCTGAATTCTGACCAAACGCTAACATTTAATTATTAGGTTTTTCAAGAGATAGAATCGTTGTGAATCCAAAATATATTCTTCTTTCTAAATGGTATAACGTAGAGGTATAATATAAGAGATAGCCTTTGGGCAGCTGAAAATATCAATTCATTATGCAAAGTTATATATTTGATGGTTCTGAAAGTAAAATTAAATAAAACCTACTAGATTAAGAATTTTTATTGTCTTTATTTCAGTTTATTTTTTTAAGCTTCCATTAGGTGTGAAATACAACATTAATCAAATGTTTTCTCTTTTGAGGTAACTTTTGATGCGTTCTCGGACCGTAACTGGTATATGCATAATACCGAGTTATCCATTTGATGTTTCTAAAAGTAAAATTAAATAAAAAACACTTATTTCAAACTTTTATTAAATCTTTTTTTCAGTATATTGTTTGGGCTTTGCCATTAGGTGGGAAAGACATGATTATTCAAATGTTCCCCAAAGAATATCTGTAGTAAACGGACGTAGTACAACACTGGTAGTAAACGTACGTTGTACAACACGGGAAAAGAGAAGAGCAGCTGGCAGAAAAAGGGCGGCAAGATAAGCGTTTGGTGTAAGATTAGCAATTAGTGTATTTATGTGTAACTAGCGAAGTTACTACAATATCTTTTAGTACTGGATCCTTTTTAGGTAATTTTCGACAAACTGAAGGAATGTTTATTGTTGAAGTGATAAGTGTTTGAGAATTGTCTGTATTAACATGACTTATGCTTAACGACACAAACAAATGTACAGTCTTTATAAGATGCATAATTTTGGTAACCAACCCACAAATCAAAACAATTATTCGTCCGGAAAATTTTAGGAAAGGAAGCCAAAACAACATTTAATGTATAGTTTGTGGCACCGTCCTTTCAAAATCAAATATCTTCCATTTGCACATCTTCAATTTCATAATATAAAAAAATTAACAATCAAGTAGCAGTAGCGATTAAAATTGACGGTTCTTGACAGGCATTCACATATTCTAAAAAGTATATTCCTATCATATCTTTTAGCCAAATGACACCATACAGAAACTTTTGTGAATGCAATAATTATTTGACGTTTACTTATAGGTATTGACTACCGAAGATGCGACTATTTCGACACAAAATAAATTTTTTGCTTAAGATAACAATGATGTTTACCCAACAATCATGTGTAACAAATAAACAAAATCTGCACCGATTATCTTCTTGGCAAGACTACCTTATGAAAATCCATATTAAATGCTTGAAATGCGTTCCAAGAAATATTTCCATTTAGACTAAATTTCTAATTCCATATGGTCCAATTCATAACTCAAAGTGTAGTTCGCAGAAGTATCTTAAATTAATAAGCGTGTGTAACTGTCATAAAAGTTAAACGAATACTTTTTGGTTATTGAACAGCTGTAAGCAATGAAGTTCATGTAAGATATCCATAATATTGTTTAATACCAACAAGAAAAAAGTATTCGAGTGAGGTTAATCTATTTAACTTATCATTAACTTTGAATGACTGATTTTTGTTTGTAGAACTTTATTGTGCGCATATTGTAGACATAAAGCACAATTTGTTTCGCATCCTTGCACAATAAAAACCATCACAATTTGTTTTTGTCTAGGATTTGAGATTTAACTTTACCAATGTCAATCTAAGGAATCTTCCGTGTTAGCATTAATGTAAATGTTTGCTTTGAATTTATATGCCCTTTTCCACTCTTTCTGAGAATTCTGAGAATTCTGAGAAGGTTGGTTTTGTGTTCTGAATATCACGAGTACATTTACCCATATTTTCGTATACTTAGAAACAAAAATAAGACAACAAATGCAAACAAAAGTTTTCTTTACTTTCTCCAACTTAGACGGATATTAAGAAAATGAAAGAAATTTATAGAGTGAATAAGGGATTAAAGCTAAGAAGTTTTAGATTTGTCATCTTTTAAAGAATTTATATGTATTAAGTAAAACAAATAATGAAGCATTGCAAATAAAGTAAAATAAAATTATGACAATGGCTATCTCAGCTGAAAGTAAGTCGTGAAGTACCTATGTTACCGAATTGGAGATTATCATTAAAACCATTGATTACATCACAAATGAGTTGTTACCCTGGTTACCCACTCATTGACTACAAGTGAGTTTCATTTTTAATAAACTTTTACGAATTTTTTTCTTTTTAAATTGTAATAAATTTTGTATTCAAAGTAATTTGAATAAATTTTGTTTTGCAAATTCATTTAAGAGCGCTTGAATTGTATTGAGCATCTTTGAAAACCATAATTGCAGTAATTTGTATGTTTCCGAAGAAGGCGTTTAAGTGTCTGACAGAAAAGGCGTTCACAACTAATTTTCTTAATTTTATTATTATTAAAATTTTATAAATATTTATTTTTACAAAATTATAATTACATAATAGAAAAGGCGTCAAGCAACTTTTAAATAAGTTAAAATTAAATACATTAAAATAATATACAAAATGCGAAAAGGTAGTTAATTTAAAATGTGTTTGTGGCGAAAATGTGTTTGATGAGCAAACGAGGTGTGTAGCGAAAAATGTTACATGTGAGCACAAAGTGGACTAGAATAAATATGTGAATAGCGCTCTGTAGCACATATTTATGTTTGCCTAAAGTAATTTCATACAGTCTAAGGCTTTATTGCCAGCCACTTCCTCCTGATGACCAGCCAGAGCTGCCACCACCATAACCACCACTACCGCTTGAAGCATAGGAGGCACCACCTCCAGACTGCCAACCACTTCCAGTTGTGGGAGCGTAGTTATAGCCACCACCACCTCCTCCACCACCGCCACCACCACCATGACCTCCTGAAGTAGCAAGAATAGCAGCAGCAGTATCATCATGACCTCCACCGCTACTGTAACCACCTGCATAACCGCCAGCATCATGCCCACCTCCACTACTGTAACCACTACTGTAACTGCTACTTTGTGAACCTGATGTTGCTGCTATAGCTGCGATTTTGGAATCATCATGTCCTCCACCATAGCCGCCACCGAAACTACTGCCACCATAACCACTAGCTCCACCATGTGATGAACCACCAGCAGTTGCAGCAATAGCAGCAATATTTGCAACAGAGTGTGAGCTACCACCACCACTGCTGTAACCAGTACTGTAACTATCAGAGTGTCCAGAAGAAGATGCACCTGCTGCTGCTGCAATAGCTGCTAAATGACCGTCATCATGACCACCTCCATAACCGGCACTGATGCCACCATGTGAACCTCCATGAGCGTCATGTGAAGAGCCTACACTGCTTGCGGCTGCTAAAGCAGCAATATTCGCAATCGAATGTGATCCACCTCCTGCATGGCCGTGATCACCTCCACCATGACCTCCACCAAAGCTATAACCGCCACCTCCGTGACCTCCAGCAGATCCATGACTTTCCTGAATTATAGCATAGGTATCAACTTGTCCGGTACTACCTCCGAAACTGTGACCACCACCATGTCCACCACCGTGACCGCCACCGTGACCGCCACCATGACCGCCACCATGACCACCGCCGAAACCACCTCCATGGCCACCATCAGCAATAACAATTGTTTCATGACCACCGCCGTGCCCACCGCCATGACCACCGCCGTAACCACCGCCATGTCCACCGCCATGACCGCCACCATGACCACCGCCGAAACCACCTCCATGGCCACCGTCAGCAATTACAATAGTCTCATGACCACCGCCATGACCACCACCATGTCCACCGCCATGACCGCCACCATGACCACCGCCAAAACCACCTCCATGACCACCATCAGCAATTACAATAGTCTCGTGACCTCCGCCATGACCGCCGCCAAAACCGCCATGACCACCGCCGCCATGTCCATGACCGCCATCGCTTATAAGTCCACCTCCTATTAAACCGCCAGTTAACGGACCAATAATATCACCGCCATGTCCACCACCGCCGCCGCCACCATGGTGCTCCACATGGCCACCGAAACCACCGCCATAACCTCCGCCACCACCACCGCCGCCACCGCCTTCAGGCAGATGTATACGAATATGTACGTGCTCTTTTCCAAATGTAGGTTTTCCATACACTGAACTGCTGGCGACCAACAACACACTCAACTATTAATAAAGATAAAAAAAATTGATTTTACAACAATTTCAGCAAAAATAATTTTAATAAAATTTACGCACAATTAACCACTTCGCCATATTTTTGAAGAAAAGGAAAAAAAATTTTTTTTAAAAGGACACTCGCTGCTCAAGTATTTTTTTCCCGTATTTCTTCCTTGATATTATTCCGCTTATTGTGTATCTGCAAATGATATGGCTTCAGTCGCGTCACACATTTTTATACAGACTTGGATATGTTATGTAAGCCAACGTAAGAAAATTGTAAAATGGAAATTTTGAGAAGCAAAACAAAACACAAAATCTTGCAGCGGTGGAGCTTCCAGTCACTGGTCCAGCTAGTGTTGCGATTTAAGCTTTCACGTAGTCTGCAATGACAGCACCATGACCTTTTGCTCTTGATACTCATGTGCGGAGAGCGAAAGTGATTTAAAAATCAGTGTTGAAAATTCGGTTTTTCCAGTAAGCAAGTGGGGATCTCAACGTATGGCTCTGCAATTATTGTACACAAGATATTCCAAAGCAAAGAAATATTTTTATTTAAAATTGATTAAATGCAGAATAAAATAACTTTAAATTAAACAATAATAAAATATTAAAATAAATTTTTTAGTTTAATTTTTTAAATACCAAATCCATTGTAAATTCATAATAACAGTGATTGCCATTTCTCTCTCTCTTCTCTCTCTTAATTGAAGTAAAGTGTTTGACGCTCTTCACCTGCTTTCTCTTTCATGGTAGAAACGACAATTGTGCCGTTTGAGTTTCAGCAGGTCTTTGCAATATATTAGCAACCTATACAGACACCGGTTCACTATGCTAACCGTTAGCTTAAAACGGCCAGCTACTTTACACCCGTATAAAATTATTAATAAAATGTTGTATCTGAAGTATATTTGAACTACGAACATTTGTAACTACAAATTTATTGCAAAGTTTTATAGATTAGAGATTTAGATTTGATTCTAAACTAAACTTAAGAAAATGAATGATTTCGTTTCTATAAAACTATTTTATCTAAATTAATTTATTTATCTCATTTTCTTATGGAGATATGTTAAAGATTAAAGAGGTGAAGTCATATCACATTAGTATTGTTTTTTTTAATATTAAAAAGGCCTGCTTATGGGACTAAAAAATAAATATGAAATCATATATTTATATAAAAATATACAGTCTATATCATAATGCTTTTAATGCTTTTTTAATACATTTTAGTTAAAGCGTATTTTGACTTTATAAGGGCATTATAATGCACTTAATTTATCATCATGGATTTTTTATCTTGGAATTCTTATTTATGCGGAATATATATTCCATCAACAGCATCGTGTTTTTGTAGATGTATGTATTTTATTTCCAGTGATCATCAGTCACTGTGTCTGGTTGTTGGTATTTAGCGACATACTGTAGGCTTGGTCAGATAATCTATTCATTGGGGTATATAAGCAAGTAAGTGACACAGTTTCAATCGTTTTGTTTGGAGGTTTGGACACTAACATCAATATTTTTTATGAATTGGATGGATAATATATAATATATATTATATAAAGTCGTTCATATTACAAGAATTTTATTTAAATGAAGTTAAAATTATTCTTATTTTTACTTCCATATGATAAAATTCAAATAAGTATTTTCTGAAGTATAATAATTGAATTTTTGTTACTATTTTACAAAATTGATGTTGTTAATGGATTCACTTTCATTACCTCGTTTACCTCGTCAAGGTTAATAAACTTGAAAACGAAAACCATATATTTATAATGGAAGTTATAGTCTAGATAGAATTGTTCAAGTTAAGATAAAAACTTAAATAGAAAAAGTTTTTGAAAACACATTTATAAAAAAAAAGTTTTTTTCAATAAGTTTTAGCGAAAAAGAAAAATGATGAAACGAATAATATGGTGAAAGTGTATTCCAAGCAAGATAAAATAATCTAAGTCAGTAAAATAATGTTTTGCTTTAGTATTTGATAGTAAGACAGAAAATACTGCATGTAAGACATCAGACATCCGTTAAAAAGAATTAAATATCTGGTATAACTCAATTTCTTACTGAAGAAATTTCATATTTTTGATTTATTGGATGTTTAACTTTTTAACATTATTTTTGCGAACCCATACTTTGGATTCATAAGTGAACCTATATATCTTTGCATTCAAGATTATTGTAGTAATTCCATTTTGCATCACCAGTATCAATTTGTAATGTTGGGTATACTCAGCTCAAGTGGCACCCATTTTCCTTATTCGTGAATCATTTTAATGGGATGGTAACGTTTGCTTTTGGCTGCTCGACTGACTGAGCTGAGCTGAGTTTTCCTTCAATATTGTTTTCAATTCTTCATCTTCAAACTTTTTGGGTTTTTCAAAACGTTTTCTGGAAAGCTATTTTCTTAATATTGAGGCAAAAAAGTAATGCTTCCCGGAAATGCTGTTTAAATGCAATAAAACATATGTTGTTTACGCTTTCACAAATAATTATCATTGGGATACTTAATTATCATTACAAAACAATGTTTAGTACAAAAGTTACGCCATCTAAGTTAAAAGTAAGTTATACATCTAATAGTCTTACTTTCAATTTAAATAGTAAAAATAAATAGTAATAGAAAGAGGATGAATTCATTCTATAATTTTCAATGGGTGAGGTGAGGGATAAAATAGTCCTGAAAAAACTCAAATCGTTAGAAACACATATCTTAAGTATTTTGTTAATTTTACTAAATGGGTTGCCTACCTCTTTCAATTGATCTTGGTTATTACTCGTGTATTAAGATAATAATAACTAGGAACTATAGAGTCCGAATGATTGAAAGGGTTCCCTATTTTAATTAATGATCATTGGTTATTACTTAGGTAGGAATATGATTGGGAATCAAAATGTAAACAATAACTGATGCAAATAAATATATATATATATATATATATATATATATATATTTATATATAGAAATATTATTTAAATTATCTGTTGTTTGTATATATATATATATATATATATATACGTATATTGTTTTATATTAATCTAAATTAAAGTTTCAGTTTCTTTGGTTAAATTGAACAAATATATCGCACATGAAAATAGGGCACGTTAAGGTGGTATCTTTAATAGTGTCTAATGAATAAATTTAGTATAATTTACAAACATTTCTTGGGGTGTAAAATGTCTTTATAAATTTTTTAAAAAATTGAAACATTTCGGGTCATAAAATTATAAAACTTAAAAATTAATTCATTTCATATTTTAGTAAATAATAATCATTAATTAAAGTGTGAAACTGATTATTTTTTAAAAACATTGTGTAGTGTTTCTCTTCATTGGACTGAGCTCTTTACTTTTGATCAAATGGATGGAGTTGGTAAAAGTTCGTCTCTTCTTCATCGAAGCTGAGCTGGAAAGTGGTGCATTGTTTACTTTTATTTTCGTACGAAATTTCTTGAGTATATCGCATATTGTAAACAAAATCGTACCTCACTTGTACAATAGGCGAGGTCATGGTCGTTTATGAGTTTGCATCTATGTGAGCTTAATTAAGATACTTTTCTCGTCTGTGTTTTGGTTAATATTCGGTGTTGATCTCGTAATTTTCTTGGTAACATGTTGATTTGGTAACATTATTTTTATTGTTGCATTGTGTTTTAATTGTAACAAAATATTTGTGTATGTTAGCGTTATTTCATATTTGACAGCGGGAGAAGCACTTGAGCCATATACGTAATCGCAGTCGCTGGATAAGTGCATAATCACGACTTTTTTTTCGTTTTCTCAGGTACTGTTACCGTTACTCTTCCATAGACCTACACAGTTACAACTGCAATGGATTTTGCTTAGGGCTTTGCTGCCAATGCTGCCGTGGCTGCTGCTGCTGTTGCTGGTGTTGCTTGCAGGCTAGCAATCGTTGTTTGTGGCTCTAATTAATTTTTTTGTTTTGATTTTGCTTGTCATTCTTTTAAAATATCTTTTTAATCACATAACAATAAGTTTAAATAATTAAGTAACTTTGTAATAATTACCAACGCTCCGCTAAATGCTAAGCAATAATAAATTTATTGCTTGGGTGAAAATAGCTAACATTACAAGTTTAGATCTCAATTTTTATGGTCTCATTAGGTGTTTTATAGGCCAATGTCATTTGCATTTGAAAGTGATACGCACAGCTGAGGATATCTGAGACGGAAAGTGTGTGGGATAAACTGTAACAGATATTTCAAGTTGAAACACGAATCCAGGGGTCAGTAATGTAACTAACGTCATATTTGAAATTTATAGTGTCTGGTTATAAATATTTTATTTTTTTCATTTGTGTTTTTAATAGTTTTAATAGTTGACTTTTTCAGAATTAGTGCATAATTTAAATGTATTTTTAGTTTATATGTATAGTGAGATGTGGATTTATAAGAAAATGGTGAAAAAACGATTATTATATTACATCTATTACAGTAGAATAAGTGATTTCTGTACGTTTAAATGAATATTTTTATATCTCACTTAAATGATTTAAGCGTATTCAAGGCTTTTTTATGAATATAATAATAAATATATACTTATTATACATCAATATAAACTTATTTAGTAAAAAAATGCTTTAGGAACGTTCTTTAAATATTAGCTTCATGCCTTTAAATAGGAACCCAGATGTTTAGTTGTGATTACTAGTACTAGTCAAGTATTTGAGAATAGTATCTATTCAATAAAGATATAATAATTATATAATAGTTATACAGAATTCACTAATTTTATCTTTAATAAAATTTAATTTTTTAGGCTCAGTATAGAACTAATTCGAATACCGTCAAACATCCATTCTTGGTATACTTGGCATTCTTGGTATATTTGACAAATTTATTGTTTTTATTTTCTGTTTATAATTTTTGGACTGGAAGTGTCCAAACAATTCGCTATTGTTTTTGACATCATTTTTATTTCGAATAAAAAAGGAAGTATTAGTGAGAAAATCCAGAATTTATAAATTTAATCTTTATTAAATTGAATTTTTAGGCTGGCTGTAGAGCTTATTCGGATACCGCTATACATTCATTTTCAGTCTTCTTTGGACACATGTATTGATTTTACTG